TGTGCGGATTGCGGGTTTTTGCGCCCGATTTGCGGGGCAGTTTTGGTCCGGAAAAACTTGAAAATTGACGATTTGCTGTTTTGCGGGGAGTTGCCGTCCCAAATCTGCGGCGTGAATACGTGTGAATCATACGTGTTTTGCATGACTGCCTTAGGTCTGGTGACTAACGCCAAATAAATAGTTGTATGCGTGAAGTCCCACACGCAAACAAACACACACGTGTCTCAGATGGTACATCTTTGCGAGCCAGAATCTGAACAACACGTGTCATACAGCATTGAAATTTCTGCCAATTGGCATCCAATCCCTGAACAATGCACCACCCCTGCAAAGAATAAAAGACAAAGCATAGCGGGGGCTCAGGCCTGAAAGCGCAGGCCCCATGGATCCAGTCAAACATGTCAGGGGTCAATCAGTGCCACAAGTGTAGCTATGGTGAAAGGAAGTGAAGTTATGGGATGGGACACCATGGAAATACATAGAAAATTAGATTTCAGACAGATTTCTGCCATTTTGGGTCGTTTGGGTTGAATTGCCCGATCTGACCCAAAATAGGTCAATTGGCTAAAAACAGGGTCATTGACCAAAACAACATTTTTTTTTCTGCTCGTTTGCTGGTCCAGGTATATATATATATATATATATGCGTGTGTGTGTGTGTGTTTCTTTTCAGTTGGGCCCTGAATCTCTCAGATTCCAAGACCAACCTTGGGAGGCTGTTTCTTTGAGACTTTACTGATGAGCTGCCGCAGAACGCGCAAGCGGACCGTCAGTGTCTGAAAGCTACGACCGAACTGATCCATCTCCTGGAGGTTTTCGATGGGGCTGATAAAACTTGCAAGGAAAGCCACCCAAAGTGGTTGTCGATTAGCGGGTTTCTGTAAACTTGTCTTCACCAGAAATTCAGGCCCCAGAAAAAGGAAATCCGCCACCTTCAGAAAAAAACAACATCACATGTCATTCAGGTGATTTCAGGTGATGCCACCTCAAACAGTAAGTCACGCATCTGATTTGTCATGATTTTCCAGGTGCTTGGGTGGACAATTCCGGCACCAAGTTGTCACCTGTGGGAAAGTGAGCATTGCCCAATGGCTCCCAGTTAGGGCTGGACCAGCCTTGGTGATTTCCGATTTCAATCCTCCAACAATCAGAAAACCAATAGTCCAAGAGGATAATAATACGATGTAATAACAGTAACAACAATTACTGTAATAATAATCATCATCGTAGCAGGTAAGATGGACAAAAAATTGAAAGCTTAGAACAACCTTGCAAGAAATGGTCCTGGCTGAATTTCAGCCAGGTCCTGGTCCTGCTCCGGGTTTGGACTTCATCCTTCTCTCAATTGGTGGAAAGGATGATAGGGGCCAGTCACCATCATGTCGGGTATGCAAAAACTCGTCCTCCATGAACTGGGACCCCCAAAATGAAGAGATCCCAGACCTTCCAACTTTCACTTCGTTTATACTAGGTATTTATTCAATATTGGGACTTTCTGAGCTGTTTCCGGTTTCAATTGATACAAAAAAAGGATGGCCCCCCCGTTCCCAATTTCTTTGAGCCCACTACAAACGCATTCCATCCGCTTCACCCGCAGCCGAGGGGCGAAATTCCTGAACTTCCTGTTCCAAATCCTCCTTCACCAGTGCGACCACCCGAGTGGCGCCAGCAGCTTTGTAGTCATCCTCAGTTGGAGGATCCCAAGATATCGTAAGCCTCACAAGTGCTAAACTGCGGTGGCTGAACATTACCGCGTTGCAATTGCCTCAGTAGACATGATATGAAATGATTTACGATTCAAAAGCACTCACGAAGCAGGACTGTTCCAGGGTAGATGAGGTTGTTCATCCTTGAAACCCTCCGGTGTCATCAGTTCCGTGGCGGTTGGAAAATCCACCCATAGCAGCCATAGTTCGGGGATATGGTGGGCCAAGGCCATTGTTTGTTGGTTCCTGGTCATGGTCGCCATCGGAAGTCATGCTCAAAATACCTGGATGCACCATTCAACTATTGTCATATATATATATATATATGTATTATTATGTATAACTTATTATATTATGTATAATTATTATTATTTTATGTATTATTATGTATAATTATATCTTATCTATTACATATATGTACATGTATTTGTTGGCACGGGCACACAATACAAATGTGTACGTATATATGTATCATTATGTATCTACTTATGTACTCTATGTAAATTGACTATACATATACACGAATATACATGTGTATACGTGAGACGAGACATGACGAAACATTATTAACTTCATTTTTGATGGGTAAACCAAGATGTTGGATTATCATATAATTCATGATGCTGTATCTTAACATGAGATCGTTTTTTGTGGGGCATGGAGTGCCTCATGTTTTCATTATATCCCAATCTTGCGGGTCTAAAGGATTTGCTTGGAGCACCATCCAACTTAGCAACTCTCTCTCTCTCTCTCCCCCTCCATCGCCACTTCCTGGAGTTCTGCTGAGCTAAAGGCGAGATGTAGACTAATTTAGCAACATGTAATTCAGATTACCCTCTGGTAATTTAACATAGCCATGGTATAGATGGCCCATAGAAATAGATGATGTTCCCAGCGAACTAAACCTCCATTTATGGTTGGGATTTTCCAGCCAGCTATGTCATAACCAGAGGCTAATTAGTTTCTTCAACCTCAATTGCAGCGAAAAAATCGGAACCCCACGGCTCGGAAACCTCCAAATCCCACGGCTGTGTTTGCGAACAAAAAACTGCTTTGATTGGGTTAAAAAACATCCGAAAAAAACATCGGTATAATTAAACATACATTGTTACATACGTATAATCATCATCCAATGTTCACATCCAGAAATCCACATGTACGGTGAAAAAACATCCTTAAAGTTTAAAGGATATGAACGGATATTGACAATATTGAATTAAGGGTAGATTAAATGCTAACACCTGATATAATGACAAGAACATTGCGTTTTACCTAAATATAATGATCATTGTTGAATGGTCTAATATGATATTATAATATGATAGTATAATTGATATGATATTGATGATATGATTTATCCATTCTGGAAAATACGATGTTATAATATCATATTCCCACATCTATAGAAGGTATTACAGTCATTATAATCTATGATGTTTTATCTATGACTACCCTCTGGTAAACAGCCGCATAGCTATGGAAAATCACTATTTTTAATGGGAAAATCCACTATTTCAATGGTCATGTTCAATAGCTATTTTGACATAACCAGAGGGTATGATTAATATGATATGTATTATCCATAATTTATCATATAATACATATCCAAATACATATTAATACCCCTTGCTGGATTAATATGATATATCACACCCCATATCCATATAATTATCGTCAAGGCGCGAAGCGGGCGGCGGCCTCCTTGGCCTCCTGAGCCGAGATTTCAGGAGGCTGACGGTGCTGGGCCCATGACCAAAAACCATGGGAAATTGTGATTTTTAACCAGCAAGAATGGTGGGTTTTAATTGTTTATATATGTTATATGTTGTTTTTTTTAAGGGAAGTATGGCTGATGTATGATAAGTTGACGTACATTTGGTGAATTCGTTGGGGTTTATTTGGGGGATATTTGGGGGCAGCTATAGTTGATGGGTTTAGAAACCAACAGACATAACTTCGTTCCGCTGTGGGGATTTGTGTGCTTTTACCCAATCTATCGTAGAATGACGATACCCATTTAACAACCTAAAACACTTCATGCCTAGTGATTTTTCAGCAATCCATCCAGTCTGTCTATCTCTAAATCTTTCCATTGGGGGCAAATCATAATAACTAAATATCGGAATAAACTAAATATCGGAATATCGGAATTTTAATATGGATTATGAGAGATATTTTTCCTATTGGCATCATTTATCGTGAGCTTTGATTTGAGGTTGCCGGAATTCCCGATGTGTTCAACCTGCCCAAACATGTTGGTGTGTTACGTTTGAGACATGAGGTAGACCCCAATTCATGATCATCTTAGCAGGACTTATTTTTCTATCATGAATGTTGGGGCGTTGTCCAAGAATTTTGGAACCTCCCCAGGGGCGCGCCTCCCTGCACATGCCTAGCGGAAGGAGAGGCACAGGGGGGGGGGTTCGGTGGAATTTCCAGTGTCACCGTCCAGTCACCATGTAGCTACCTCATAGCTACCCTAAGTTCCCCTAAGGATCATTGCAGCATGACATTTGTCCAACTGAAATACGCTTAAGTTTTCAGGCATCCAACAACTCCAAACGGTATTATGCTGGATGGTTTGTCAGGTTTACCACACCATGTAGTTGACAAACCTAACTGCCCTAACTCCTCACCCCAAAAATTGCGTCAATACTTTGTTCCACCCCATATCCCTGTTCATGTTATGCATATGACAATTCGTCACATAACATTTCTGATTGGATGTGTGATATGTGATATGTGTATATAATATGTATACACACACACCCTTCGAGATTTTCAACCTATTTCCCATTTGCCGCATTTGCCCTTCGGTAGTCACAAATGGCAATGGACAATCGCTATTTATTAGATCATTTTGTCATTCAACTTCTTAAAACCTCTATCCAATTCTATTTTTATGAGAGACTTTTCTGATTTCAATATAAGCTCCCATTAATAAACAAAGACATACATAATATATATATATATATACGTACCAGCGCCCTCTAAAGGGCGCTTATTGGTTTCTGAATTCTTGAATATACAAGGGGCGGTTATTGGACACCCCTTACCGAACATGGTTTCATAACCAAGGTCATACACCCAGAAGAGACCAACTAACCATCAATTTTAGGATCTTGTGGGACCATCCTGCCTCACTCGGCCTGCCTGAAATCTCTGCGGCCTTTCTCCGTGAAGAAGCAGGCTTCGATCAAGGCCGGGCTTTCACCGGCGGAAGGGACTTGATGGTCATTTCATCAAATCATTGAACATCAATAAAGACTTTTGAAAACAAAACCATTTTCCATCAGAAACCATTGACCATCACTCAGCTGCCAGTAAGCTGGCGTAACCAGCGGCAACAAACATATGCAGCATATCTATGGAGGGTTTGATACCCCATTGCTCGAACATCAGATCTCATTGCCAACCCCTTACATTTTCCAATGAAATCTTCGTCATCATACGTTGACAAAGTCAGTGGGTTCATCAGTGCAGCTTGGTCGATGCAAAGATGGTCGATCCTCAGAAATCACATCAAGACGTTATTATCAAACATTGGTTTTGTTTCGGACAGTGCTTTCAATACAGTCTCAACCCAACACAGAATGACCAAGAAACTGGTGGATTTTCGGCCGGATCTTCCACAGCAAAACCTCCTTATCAATGGCCTCCGTGGCCAAGCCTTAGATTTCAGACAACGTAGCAGAATCAGTCATCCGGGATCATATCATCGAAAGTAACCCTAAACTTTAAGTTGTTCAACAGATTTGTCAAGACGGCCAAGTAACTGTTCAGGGCACTGTGCAGTAGGAAGTTAGCACGTTGCAAAAGCGATAGATTTTGTGGCTTGAGAACACACCAATCATTGCGACCCCTTCCAACTGCGCTTCGCATCACTACCAAGTTCACAAAGATAGATGCCCTAAGCCTCAGTAGATATACCGTGATATGTATTGCGTCAACTTTCAGCTAGGATGGAGTCATTCAACCATGATTTCACTCCACAAATTGCGGTAGGTTTTTTTTCTCCAAGAAACGCGCAATGTTCACTGGCAGGGTTAGCAGCAGCCACAGCCAAAGTCACACCTTTTAGCCACTTGGCTAACACGGTCGCCTCCTAGGATAGCAAATGAAACATCAGTTTGATGGATTATGTAGCAGGCATTGCACAGGATTGCCAACAAGAAACTGCTCCATTGAAATGTTTCTGCACCAAAGTAGGGTAGTTACCCTTTCCCAGTGGATACATCTGTTTCCTCGGGACGGAAAATGTGGGAACACCATTTCAGGAAAAAATGCACATTTCAAAAGACTTGAGCCAAGTAACACTGAAAAGATTTGTCCCCTGTTTCCTGAGTGTGGGTTTGTTGACACACAAAACCACAGTCCTTTGCACACACTTCCATGTGAGCCATATGTCCAGTAAACCTTGTCACCAAGTCACTGACGCCATGTCTTTTGCATTCACTGGTAAATTGCACAAAGGCCATTCTAAGGCGTTCGTCTTGATGGTCACCAGGCCATATAGAGTCATCTTCGGTCAGCTCTATGAGTGCCTTAGATAACACATTCACATGCATGAGACCCGTGAGCGCACAAAGCTTGAAAACTATTGGAACAATATATTGGAACCTGCCCCGCAAAACCCTAAAGATCAAAACTACTGAGCTTTTCAAGTTACACTTGCACTCACTTCTGGTATCAGTGACAAATCTATGAGATGTAGCCAATCTGTAAGTACCCGTGATAGGTGAAAACCCGGAAGTCTGATCCAACTGTTTGGCCGACAGCCTTCTAGCAAAAAGTCAACATTGCTGACCAAACATTCACGGTGCGGAGCACTGGGGCCAAAGGCCGTGTAAATCAAATCGCCATGGTTTTTTGCTTTGCAATACATGCAGACCAACTCTGACGTCGCCGATGTAGTGAGTTTCAAACATTTTTGAAGGAATTTTTGATCGCCTTTCAAAGCAACAAACACCCCAGTGTAGGGTCCGCAAATCCTCCCATGTTTTCCCCTGGCCCAAGGTCGGCCATACACATCAACATCCATAAAGGAGCCTTCTTGGAGCTCACATAGCCCATGAACGATCCAAGCATCGAGACAGTCAAAAGTTTCGTTGAGAGCCCGAGTGTTGTCAACAATGTAGAGGGGGAATCTGGTATCCCAAGAAGATCGACTGATTGAAAGGGGGCTTGCAATTGTACAGACACAGAATGATCTCCGTCGGTGTGAGTCCGCGTCATCACCATGGCAAAGAATTGGGAAATGGGTTCGAAGATCAACATCCTCAATGTAATGCAAAACAAAATGTTTTTTTTCTCCCACCAGTGCCCAAACACACAACAAAATATTGGCCCACAAGTGCATGTGCAAGTCACTGGATTGGAGAGTATAGGATGCATTTTGAACCATTCAGTTTCTCGCTGTGCATTCCAGAATTGTTCCAAAGCCTCAATTAACATATCATGCACGCACATGTGCACACACCCACACACGTGCACATGAACACACATGTTGTCAAACTCACTGAACTTGATGCAGGTGACTCCAGGTGGCCCAAGCCATCGATCACGGAACAGATCGACGTCATAAGTATACATTGAATGAATCCTAAAAACACAAATATGCGCAGAGCATCCCACTGCACAGTGTGATACCATGTCAAGATGCAGTCATACCACAAGGTTTGTGTCGAGCATCAAGTCACCGGGCAAATGCAAATGCCAAGTTCCAAGGTAGTTGGGCACTTCCCTGCGTTCATCCTTCAACACCACTTCCACCCTAGGATATGGATTTGGAGTAGAATCGTAGAAAAGGACTTATACACATGTATGCCATTCGAAAATTTAGCCAAGAAACGGAAATGGCCGAGGAAGCATCTTACGCCATTTCTGTTTATTCAACCATGACCAGAAATGCCGGCCAATATTCTTTGTGTCCGTCTCATCTATGCCCACTAGATCTTTGAGGTTCTTCCTTAGACTTTTGTGGTGTAAAAAATCTACCGCAAACACCTTGATAAAAACTGTACACATAAATTCCTCCACACAAATTTGGATAAACAATTCGCAGCCAAGATTCGGAAGATACCTGCCAGGGATCCGTCTCCGAAGTACTCGAAGTAGCTCCACCAGATTTGTCACGGTTACCTGAAGGGAGTACTAAGATAAGACAGCCATGTTATTCAACAATTTTAGCACATGCAAGAGTGTTTTTGCAGTCTAGGTACGTTTTTGCCAAGTTCCAGGAACTCTTCAACCAAATCCATTGCCCCATGGAAAATTCATTGGAATGAAACATGAAGGACCAAATTCGCTAATCAGTTCTTTGTATTTTCAACCCTGCTTGATGGAAAAAAACGATCGCGCATTGATTGACATTCAATCATGCAGGAATGCATGTTCACAACTATAGTGATTCAAACCCTTTCGGTGATTCCAACTCGACACGCTATGTTTCCTTCCTCCAGCATGATGTTCATGATAGATTCACGTGGCTAGTGTTTCCATAATGGGATTGAAACATCTGCCACGCCTGCCAGGCTAAAGTTTGCCGAAGCAACAGTGGATATCGTCAGGCATCCCAGTCCGTTTCTGAGCTGGATAGCCTTCAAGTGCTTCTTGCACCAAAATTAAAATCAAATTATCTCCCATCCACCGAAAGCATTTCAGGGTGTATTGCGTGTCTTAAGAGTAAAAATTATAATGTCCACGGTGGCTGGGAGTAACGCCATGGCATGCTGAAACTGATCAGCAGCTGCAATGGTTCTTTCATGTTCTTTCGCCAAGTGAAATTGTGAGCATATTCAAATCCAACATCACCCACATATAAGTCCATAAGTAGAGCATATGAATCACCAATGGCGAAACCATATCACTTCGGGAACACGAAGGGATTTCAATGGTGGATCATGGGGCCCCAAAATATATTTATGGTTCATTATTAAAAAAAAAAAACTGAAATGTTTGGTCATTCAAAGATCCATCCATAACCCAAAGACAGAGTCTAGCAACTAATCGGTGCGCTCTAGCGAATCGCTGATGAATCAGATTTGGATTATTGATGGCATTTGAACATCGTATGTTATCAAACAATTACCAATTTCATCTACTCTGATTCATCAGCATCAGCATCAGCATCATCTTCCGAATTGTTGGTAGCAGGTTTCTGCGCTTTCCTTTTGGCCGTTGGGCCTTTTGCAGCATTGATTCGACGCTTTGCGTCTTTGACATCTGTTTCAATCTGAGCAGCGATCTTCTTTTCGTTAGTCAGCTGGTCAGAGAAATCCGCCAGATTAATTTCGGAAACGGGCTTGCCCGCCAAGGCAACAACACGTTCAATTGCATCTTCAGCAGTTGGGTGCCAAGATTTCAAGGCGGCCACCTGGATTTGAGGGGAAAGACATGGAAAGACCCTGACATCCTATTGACAAATCTTACACTTGTGCATGTAAAATCATTCATGTTTGAATGGTTGTGTCGGTAATCGTTCCATGGCCCCAAGTCCATCCATAATCCAAGACACCAGTTCCGAGGAATTCCGCACTGATGATAACTCGTTGATGCAGGTCTCAAGGTTCTCGAAAAGCGTTTTCCACCTCACGGGGCAAAATGATATTTCAAATGTACCCAACAATATACAGTGAGCAGGATCCCCAACACAAATTTATCTTAGTCGCTATACCCAAGGATGTACATTGACCAGTAACCCCAACACAAAACCGGTTAAGACCTGATTATTCAGATTTGGGATAGCTTCTTGTATATGGGTTTCCCATGGATTTACATTGACCAATAGCCCCGATGCAAAACCATGAAGACGATCTTAGGATAGTTTTTTGATATGATCACCAATGGATAAACATTAGCCAGTAATCCCAAGTCAACAAATGAATAAGACAAAGATCTTTTTGGATAGTTTCTTCATGTCAGCGAGGCTTTCTTCCTCAGGTGATTTTTCCTTCTTTGGCTTTTTGCTCTTGATTGTCCCTGTAGTCTGGTTCATCAGGGACACCTCTCCATTCAACCCCCCAAGCTGTTTTGCAAGAAGTTGCTTCGCACTTGCATCCTTGACACGTCCCGCCAAGGATACCTGGGATCAGAAAATGATAGTGGAATTACTAGTTGTAAATGTTATTTTTTGGGAAGGCACTGATTCCCTGATCGGTGGTTTTTTCCCGTTCAACTAAGTTGCAGTGTTGGTAGACTGGGATCCCACAGAAGTGTCTTCAATCACTTCCTTGAGGACTTTATACATCTTGGCCTTCTTGACATTTGGTGCCTGCCGTCTCAGGCGAGCAACCCAGAAGACCCAAAGTTCAAACTGAGAGAAACATCAGAAACCAGGCCTGTGGGTGGGGCACTCCAACCTGGCCTGGGTTTGCCAATGAGATTCTAAAAGTAAATGGACGACCTGAAATCCATCATTTCTTGAACCTTCAAAACTAATAATATCCAAGTATCCTTTGATGAGTTCAGCGATAAAATCCTTGCTTTCGGAGCTTTTGCCAAACATTTTCTCCAGCTGCAGGATTGTGACCTTGGGAGATGGATAACGGATAAAACTGATTTATTGATATCCTTAAACATTTGGAAGTTGTGCATGGGAATGAATCCTTGTTGAACAAAATCATTGGCTAGATTTCCAACAGGGCCCTGACCGTTACATAGCGGTCCGTTCTCAAATTCTGCACCCATGTTTTGTATTTTTCTTCCACTTCGATGCTACCCAGATCCTGGTTCTGACACCAAGCCTTGAGCATTCCAAACCTAAGTACGGGATGTGGGATTCAAGAGTATGCCATTTTAAACAAGGTAGGTAAACAAAATCAACACTTATTGGTGCACCATGTGAAATTCAAATGAGACACCGTTCTTTGTCGGTTGCGAGCGAAAATTTAGCTACCAACTCTGGAGCTGCCTCTTTCACTATAGCCCTTCTCAGAGCTGCATATTGCCGTTTTCGTTCCTAAGTTGAAAATAGTTGACAACTGATGGCTAAACCATTTCACTAACAAAAAGAGTCGATCCAGTTAATTGGGGGTGAAAATGAATTGTTAATTTCTTAGACTAGCATCTTTGTAGTCCATGTCGCTAGGCTTTTGCATTGCTGCTATTTTGCTCTTCTCTTCCTCAGTAAGATTTTTGGCACGAGATACCCGTTCTCCCTTCCCATCCTTCAGGCTCTTGTCGGTCGTGTTAGTCAGATCAGACGAAGCAGTACTCGGTGGTGATGGCATTGACTCCTGATTTTGGGGGGTCACCATGGTATATATGGGGTTTCCCAAATTCCCAGGCAAGAGTCCGTAGTAATCAAGTGTAATCCAAGACTCCGGAGAAAAGAGTTTACGACGGCATGATTGAGGGGAAGCCAGAGCTGAAAGGCTACTCATAGTCTCAGTTCTCTCCATGAGCATCTCCTGGCCAGAAAGGGATAATAGCGCCAATCCTTTTTGATTATGGTTCACATCATTCTCACCTATGTATTTATCAAACTACACCCTGCCTTACTGTCAAGTGGCCTTAGTGGTTTCGAATCTTCATCCTCAACCTTTCTCTTTCTGTCATTGTTCTGCTGTTCACTGACTCGACCTTTTTTGGGATCATCTTCCAGTGCCAAAATCTCTGACTTTCTCTTTTTCTCATTTTTCTGTGGCTCTTTCTTCTCGGCCTCCTTCTCGCTGGCTGGGCTGCTGGTTGTCTTTTCAGACGGTTTCTTCTGATCTTTGCCACGGGCCAACCATTAGTAGCGAGCTAAAGCTTCTTCTGGATTTTTTTTTGCAAACCTTTTGGCTTTGAACCCTTCTACCTTCTTGTAGGCCTCAAAATGCTCGTGTGCCTTGGCTTCTTTGATAGCTTGCTGCAGGTCTTCCGGTGACATCACACTAAACCGTACTTTGAACGAGGTGATGTGTGGGTTCTGGTCCACCTTCAGGGTGGAGCTGGCTGGGCTGGTGCTCTTCTCTTGATCTGCGGCTGCCTCACTCTTCTTTTCCTGCTCCTCCTTCTCCTCATCTTTCTTTGGTTCTCTCTTCTTGGCCTCCTTCTGGCTGGCTGAGCTGGTGCTCTTCTCTGGGTCTGCAGCTACCTCACTCTTCTTTGCCTTCTTTGCCTTCTTCTCCTCATCTTTCTCTGGCTCTTTCTTCTCGGCATCCTTCTCCTTCTCGCTGGCTGGGTTGGTGTTCTTCTCTTGGTCTGCGGCTGCCTCACTCTTCTTTGCCTTCTTTGCCTTCTTCTCCTCACCTTTCTTTGGCTCTTTCTCCTCGGCATCCTTCTCGCTCGAGCTGGCTGGGCTGGTGCTCTTCTCTTGGTCTGCGGCTGCCTCACTCTTCTTTGCCTTCTTCGCCTTCTTCTCCTCATCTTTCCTTGGCTCTTTCTCCTCGGCATCCTTCTCACTCGAGCTGGCTGGGCTGGTGTTCTTCTCTTGATCTGCAGTGGCCTCACTCTTCTTTGCCTTTTTTGCATTCTTCTCCTCATCTTTCTTTGGCTCTTTCTCCTCGGCATCCTTCTCGCTAGAGCTGGCTGGGCTGGCGCTCTTCTCTGGGTCTGCAGTGGCATCTTCTTTGCCTTCTTTGCCTTCTTCTCCTCATCTTTCTTTGGCTCTTTCTCCTCGGCATCCTTCTCGCTAGAGCTGGCTGGGCTGGCGCTCTTCTCTGGGTCTGCAGTGGCATCCTTCTTTGCCTTCTTCGCCTTCTTCTCCTCATCTTTCTTTGGCTCTTTCTCCTCGGCATCCTTCTCGCTAGAGCTGGCTGGGCTGGCGCTCTTCTCTGGGTCTGCAGTGGCATCTTCTTTGCCTTCTTCGCCTTCTTCTCCTCATCTTTCTTTGGCTCTTTCTCCTCGGCATCCTTCTCGCTAGAGCTGGCTGGGCTGGCGCTCTTCTCTGGGTCTGCAGTGGCATCCTTCTTTGCCTTCTTCGCCTTCTTCTCCTCATCTTTCTTTGGCTCTTTCTCCTCGGCATCCTTCTCGCTAGAGCTGGCTGGGCTAGTGGTCTTCTCTTGGTCTGTAGTGGCCTCACTCTTCTTTGCCTTCTTCGCCTTCCTCTCCTCATCTTTCTTTGGCTCTTTCTCCTTTGCATCCTTCTCACTCGAGCTGGCTGGGCTGGTGCTCTTCTCTTGATCTGCGGCTGCCTCACTCTTCTTTGCCTTCTTTGCCTTCTTCTCATCTTTCTTTGGGTCTTTCTTCTCAGCCTCCTTCTCGCTAGAGCTGGCTGGGCTAGTGGTCTTCTCTTGGTCTGCAGTGGCATCACTCTTCTTTGCCTTCTTTGCCTTCTTCTCCTCATCTTTCTTCGAGTCTTTCTTCTCAGCCTCCTTCTCGCTAGAGCTGGCTGGGCTGCTGGTCTTCTCTGGGTCTGCAGTGGCATCACTCGGCTTTCGCTTTTTCTCCTTCTTGTCTTTCTCATCACCCTTCGGTTTGTCTTTCTTTGCACTCCCCTCAGAGCTGTCTGGACTGCTGGTCGTGGTCTTCTCTTTGTTGGCTTTCTTCGCTGCTTCTGCTCTCTCTGCTTTCAGTCTATTGTTCAGCACGTCTTCTGCAACTGCTGCCATTGCAGCTGCCCTTAACTTTTCAAACTCATAGTAGCTTGAGGTGGGTTCTACCTGGGCCTTCAAAAGTCTTAGCTTTTCAGTTTCTTTCTTTTTCATACGATCAGCTTTGGTGACAGCCATTGCGAACGCTGGGGAATCAAAGATCCTACCCTTAAAACCAGATTCGCTGGCATCGGAATGCATCAGGTATAAGTGTGCTAAATGGTGGTTTGAGAATTACCCAAAAATGATAGGTTCACAAATTCCACAAAATGACACGCATTTTTTTTGATATTGTCTTTTTTCAGTTTTGGATATACAAGCCCCAAAAATTGACACGCAAATGACACGTTTTCAAACGATGAATTCCAGGCGACACGTTTGCTAAGGGGTGGTTTTTGAAGCTAAGGGGTGGTTATTGGTGACCCACAGGGACCCAACTGACACGCCAATGACACGCATTGACACGCACAATTTGGTGATTTTTCCCCTGACAGGCCATCCAAAGTGGCTTCGCAAATTTGCATCTCGGATTTCGCTAAATGAGTTTGTGGTAACCAGGTCCAGGGGTGCATAACCACAGGATTCGGCTTTTGTGTAATTTGGAAGACTTTGATATTTAAGATTGGATCTATTGACTGTAGCCACGCCCAGGACCCAAACCACAAAAGAACTGCATGGTAATTAAAACACTAGCTCACTGGGTTTGCTGTTCAAGTTCCATGGCCTGGATGGCCCGATCCTCACAGGTACAATCCTTGCATATCGATCGAAGGTGGTGATCATCATTCCTCAGATGGTCAATTGTCCCCTGAATGGGTTTGTGTCAATACCCAGAATCAAAAAAAACACAATTTGACTATATAAATATCTACAGGTGAGGTTCGGGATCCATCTCGCTATAATCTCCAGCCAGCAGGATAGGCAAATCTTTTCGTGTTTTAATTCTTCTAAACGCTCCAGCAGTGCCAAGTATTGTTCAGAAGGCCTGGGTGGAGGCATGATCAGGCCTAAAACCTATAACCTCTAAAATGGCCAGAGATCGCCAAAGTAAGCCAGTTGCTGCAGAAATAAAGATTGCTGAAAATCATTGTCCCAGCTGAAATGGCTCCAGAATGCACAATACCCACAAGAAACACAATGAATCAATCTTGGGTTGGAACACATTGACGAACATTTTCAATCCCTAACCTCATAAATATGTCAGGCGATGTCAGGCGTAATTGGGTCCACAGCTTTTAGCATGTGGGATGTTTGCAGGAGTCATTACTAATTCGACAATGGATGGGCTCAACGTGTCATTACTTGTAAGATCTTGCATCTTGTAACCATGGTCCCTTCAAACATCAATTGAATTACCATTGACCACCCATCATCCTAGGTCTCAAGCCACGGTAAAGGTGTTTACAACTTCCTCCACCATGTATGTTTAGCACCCTTTAGGATGTCTCCCAGGGCATCCAAGTCTTTTGGATTCCCATTGGATTCACAAACTACTTCAAGGTCATCAGGCCGAGCCCCTCTGGATGGCATCATGCGGGCAATTGCCACACCAAAGCCCCGAGGATACGTAGCGCTGGAAGCCAACTTCGATTTGATACCAGTCTAAGTGGAGAACATGGAATCAGATTTGATCTGTCCCATTAATGTCGATTATTATATCTTAGTTCAGTGTACTCAATGTCAGGGACAAGAGGCAACTCGTTTTTTTCCATTCTTGTCCACGGTTTTGCGGACCAGGCCATTGATACCATTCCTCCTGGGCAGAGCAATACCAGAACCCTGCAGGTATAATTTTTAATATTATATAAATTAAAGTTTGGGATTTAGAAAACCATAATTGCATATAATAGCAAGAGTTGCTCACTATCGACAAGATGATGGAGAAACAAACCTTGGATGCAAGCATTGTGCATCTGATGGGCATCACTTCACCTGTGAACAGTGGAGCAGCCAACCAGTACACATCGATTTTGTGGTCTACAAGTCAAATTACTGGCAATGCACAGTCCAGTACATTGAGCTGATTCAGGAAGGCATGAAACGGTGGCGTCATGTGCTTCGTACAAGAATCGACAACACAGCAACCCTGCCAAAAGAATCCCAATAAGGTTGGATGGCACAGTTGCATACTTCTCTACTTCAGCCGTGACATCACTGCTGTGGCCACGGCGTGGACATGAAGCTTCGTTCACTGTAAGTGATGTAAACCTAATAAATATCAAACCATGCAATTTTGGCATGTGAGCATGCTAATCAATAAATCAAGCAATCAATAAATCAAGCATGCTCGACCCCATGTTTGATCCCCCGGCAGTCCTGGCCAAGGCTTCCATCAGCAGTTTCCTGTTCAGTGGGCGCCACAGGCCAGTCAAATCTGGAAGATTTCCCCACAACCTTGGATGGGATGGAATGGGGTGGACTGAAACCGAAACACCGATTGAAACCTTTCAAATCTTTGTGAGAATTGATGTGCATGTTGCATTGCACTGGTGGTGCCATCCACTTGAAGACCACCATAGTGGAATGCGACCCGGCAAGGCAATTGCTAACAGGCACAGCTGCTTGTCATTACGGATGCCCGTGAAATGGCCAAATTACACGGCTGAAGCCACTCATGCTTTCGATTAGACTTCTACAAGGAAGAATGAGATGAGGCCTACTTTCTGAATGAAGACTGATTCCCAGTGCAGATGGCGAGTGGGTGCCATATGTGGGCCCAGCGAAACAGGCAAGTCCGTGAACCACCAGATCCAACGACCTGTTTGGCCAAGGAGCGTTGTCATCTTAAGAGTGCTTGCTCCATAAGCCCCCATTGGGAATGTGACTCTCCTGAAGGCAACAATTTGAAAGATCTTGAAAGGGCGATTCAAAATAATCGATGTAACATCATGGAATGCTAGAAAATCCCATCCTCGCACGGATGGACATCAAAAATTTTCGCATGGGAGCCCAAGCGAACAATACCTTAGATCCATTTGCAGTGACACCTGGTTGGACTGTCAGGGATACTGAAAAATGTTCTTGGAATTAAGAAATATTCTGTTTTTTTGGTGTTGGATGTGCCAAGATACTGAAGTCATAGGCTGTTCGATCACTATATAGATGCCACGTTGGCAGGCATACCATAGTCTCAGTTGCAATGCAGCTCATGCCATGGTTATGGATTCACCTTGTTGATATTCACTGGGATTTAAGTTAAACACATGCCTTTTGGAAAGCCTAGCCACATATAGAGAAGTCTCATGCAGAACACGTTTGCCAGGGAAACACATTTGCTTCCACACCCGTCGGGATCCAACCAAGAGCGACCAGTGGATGATCGACTCCGTAGGTTTCAATGAATGCAACAGTTGATAGAACAATTGAATGTTGCACTACCATTGCAGTTGAGGGTCATGAACACCCAAGTCGAACAGGGTGGTGCAACAAAGAGCATGCCACCTTTTTTGGTGTTTCTGACCTTACATTGGATCTATGAGAACAACTTTGTCTGGGTCAAGCATGGTGACAGGGAACATTGATTCTCCATTCTGTCGGTCTATGTTGGGGTGTAAAGATGATGCATGGCAAACCCTAACCACCCAATACATCCAAGACACGGCCAGTAAAACAGCAATGAATCCCACCGTTCGCAGAAAGTCATGGTTTTTGCTGTAGTTCACCTGAGTTAGCCAGGGAAACACCATTTCTTCTCGGTTTTAAGTTCCATGATCTGAGGTATAGATCATTGAAGTGTTCAAAATGTTAAGCCCAAGGTTCATCAAAAGCCTTTCCATGGAAACCATGAGCCCAAAGTGCTCGTGTCAAATGCCCTTCTCCCGAACAAAGCTCCACCTATGAGCATTGCTAAGATTTCATGGGAAGGGGTTGTAAACGCATCGTTGAGTTTCTTCAAAAAAATCGCACAACCAGTAATGCAGTCAAACCACAAAGTCGTTGGCATACTCTTGGCTGGGAACTGGAATTTGGGCAATGAATGCCAGTATTGGCAACAGCTTCACAGGATTCATGGCTGTTTCAAAGGGGGCTCGGGCCAAAGAATCTACAATCTGAGAATTATCTTAAATCGTTCAATGATTGTTCGAGGTGGTATATCCCAGTAATCAATGATTGTCCGAAGTGGTACCCCAGTAAGAATCATACAATCATTCATTGACCACAAACCCCAAACCCCAGAATCCAGAAACGATTGCAGCGATGGAGGTGAGTGCACTGCACGAGCGAAGCGCATTTCTTCTGGCACGATCGAGGCATCTGGCGTCGATCATGATGACATGTTACCCCCAACCAACAGCTGCACTTTGCAGCATATGGTGTTGCTGATGTATTTCAATCAGACTTTTGGAAATGGCACACCCCCAGACATATCAAAGGGAAACTGATTGATTGAATCATGAAAACTGTTAATATATTATTTGGCTAGAAGAATTGCCACTGCTGGGTGTGTTATGTAAGAGCTAGGTCTTTTTCGATTTCGTCTTCTTCACTCCCTTACCCTTTGGCTTGGGATTTTTCGACTTAGACTTGGCACCCTCGGTTTCTGGAGCATCAATTTTCGTAACATTTTGTTTGGGGAGGTTCTTACAGATCTCCGCAACCTTCTCAAAGTGCTTGAAGCCACATTTCTCTGCGCCGCCCCTTAGATTCGAAGTTCTGAAGCATGCATTTATGCTGTCTGAAGTTGGAAAATGTGGATATCAAATGGATATCATTACGGTTTGCTTTACATGGCTTTAGGGTGTCTTCCAAATGAGGGAAACTCCCGGATTGATAAATGATCGATCCATGTTGTTTATTTTCAATCCAAGTGTCTTTGTCCAAATCTGTTCCCCCCTTGGCGAGATCCAAAGCTTATAGATCTGACCGGCAGCCTTTCCGCTCAGCCTCCTTCTCACTTCCACCACCCAACCGTCCTGCAGGTTGTCAATCCGGTGCAGCACATCGTAAATCCTTAGTTATCCCGTTCAAAGAAAACATGAGTATCCATGAGCTAAAACCAGTGCACAAATGACAGTCATAGAATCAAAAATTCAGCTATGATTCACTGTTCCACGCTTTGATTTTTTGGCTTCCCTTCTTTTGTTGACCATGGCTAATTGTTCACTTGGTGTTGGCAATCTTGCTCCTGCCTTTTGGAGGGCTAGCTGCTGAACCCTGGTGATTGTAACCCTGAAGCTATTTTCGGCAAAGTCCTGAAATGCTTCTTTGTGCACCATCGATGTTTTCTTCTCCATCTTCGCATCTTTGGGCTCCTGCCGATTGCAATTATATACGGTGATCGAGATTATACTCACGATCTATCAATATGTAAATAAGATAGTTGAAAGTCAGGACTGCCAAACCTATTATATATATGGGGAATTACCATGTTTGATCGGGATTGTAAACCTCGAGACTATATTTCCATAAACCTACAAATGAATAAACAACCCACAAGGGTTCCAGCAATCTGAAGTTGCCCTACCAATCCCTTGAGTTGCAGGCCTGCTTTGGCTCCACAACGGAGGCTGAGGCCGCAGTTGGAGTGCCGTTGTTCAAACCTGGGAAGGCAGTGGATGGATATATATGTATAGTTGGGGATCTGAAGTAATGGGTAAGTCCTAGTTAGTTCTAAAATAATGCAGGCAAAAAACATGCCACCGAAGTCTTTCTTCGAAGTCGTGACCGTAGTAAATTCACAGCCTCACATTCCCGATCCAAGTCCTCTTCAAGACCCCCTGTGTTACTCTCAGCCTTTCTTTTGCTTTGCTTTGCTTCCTCTTTGTTCTTCTCCTTCTGCAAAGTCTTTTGAAGGAATGAAGTCCGCAAATCAAAGTGTGAGTTTTGTTTCTGACTCTCCTTGTTCGATTTCTGCTTGGTTGAATGCAGTGCTTCACAAGCTGTTAAATCTGGATGGAATCCACGACAAAAGCTATGGAAGGTTTCCATACCCACCCTATCCAGCTCAGCTAATCTTCCAGCCTCGGTTGCAGCTTCTTCAAGCTTGTGATTTCCATCCTCCTCTTTGTCTTTGCCGTTGCTGGTTGTGCTTGAACTGGAAGAAGAAGAAGAACTGCTGCTGCTGCTGTTGCTGTCGGTGTCACTGTCGCTCATGTCAGGCTCTGTGTATGCCTTGTTCTTCTCACTTGTCTCACCCTCATCTCTGTGCATGTCAACTGTGTCATCACCTGAAGTGTTCTTCTCGGTCTTCTCGTCCGTGGCTTCCTCACCTTCTTTCTCATCTTCATCGCTTTCCTCCTCTGAGCTTTCCTCTTCTGATCCATTTTTCTCCTCATCTTCTTTTTCTGAAGCCTTCTTCACAGCCTTCTCCTCAAGACCTTTGGCCTTCTCTGTCTTCTCCTCCTCAGAGCTGTCTTCCTCACTGCTTGTCTCATCTTTGGCCTCATTCGTTTTTCCTTTGTCTTCACTTTTGGGCTTCTCCTCAACTGTGTCCTCACCTGAAGTCTTCTTCTCGGTCTTCTCGTCCGTGGCTTCCTCACCTTCTTTCTCATCATCGCTTTCCTCCTCTGAGCTTTCCTCTTCAGATCCATTTTTCTCCTCATCTTCTTTTTCTGAAGCCTTCTTCACAGCCTTCTCCTCAAGACCTTTGGCCTTCTCTGTCTTCTCCTCCTCAGAGCTGTCTTCCTCACTGCTTGTCTCATCTTTGGCCTCATTCGTTTTTCCTTTGTCTTCACTTTTGGGCTTCTCCTCAACTGTGTCCTCGCCTGAAATCTTCTTCTCAGTCTTCTCGTCGGTGGCTTCCTCACCTTCTTTCTCATCTTCATCGCTTTCCTCCTCTGAGCTTTCCTCTTCTGATCCTTTTTTCTCCTCATCTTCTTTTTCTGAAGCCTTCTTCACAGCCTTCTCCTCAAGACCTTTGGCCTTCTCTGTTTTCTCCTCCTCAGAGCTGTCTTCCTCACTGCTTGTCTCATCTTTGGCCTCATTCGTTTTTCCTTTGTCTTCGTTTTTGGCCTTCTCCTCAACTGTGTCCTCACCTGAAGTCTTCTTCTCGGTCTTCTCGTCCGTGGCTTCCTCATCTTCTTTCTCATCATCGCTTTCCTCCTCTGAGCTTTCCTCTTCTGATCCTTGTTTCTCCTCATCTTCTTTTTCTGATGCCTTCTTGACAGCCTTCTCCTCAAGACCTTTGGCCTTCTCTGTCTTCTCCTCATCAGAGCTGTCTTCCTCACTGCTTGTCTCATCTTTGGCCTCATTCGTTTTTTCTGTGTCTTCACTTTTGGGCTTCTCCTCAACTGTGTCCTCACCTGAAGTCTTCTTCTCGGTCTTCTCGTCCGTGGCTTCCTCACCTTCTTTCTCATCATCGCTTTCCTCCTCTGAGCTTTCCTCTTCAGATCCTTTTTTCTCCTCATCTTCTTTTTCTGAAGCCTTCTTCACAGCCTTCTCCTCAAGACCTTTGGCCTTCTCTGTCTTCTCCTCCTCAGAGCTGTCTTCCTCACTGCTTGTCTCATCTTTGGCCTCAATCGTTTTTCCTTTGTCTTCACTTTTGGGCTTCTCCTCAACTGTGTCCTCACCTGAAGTCTTCTTCTCGGTCTTCTCGTCCGTGGCTTCCTCACCTTCTTTCTCATCATCGCTTTCCTCCTCTGAGCTTTCCTCTTCTGATCCTTTTTTCTCCTCATCTTCTTTTTCTGAAGCCTTCTTCACCGCCTTCTCCTCAAGACCTTTGGCCTTCTCTGTCTTCTCCTCATCAGAGCTGTCTTCATCACTGCTGGTCTCATCTTTGGTCTCAACCTCTTCCTTGCATTTGTCCTGTGTCGGCTCATCCTCAACTTCCTTTTTGATTTCTGTCTTCGGTTCCTGTGCCAGGCACGGACCGAAAATTGATTGGATTTTCCTGGGGTTCTAATCTGATGTCAGGACTGATCACATCATGGTTTTCATGTGTGATGTTTTGCAATTGTGGATCCCAAGAAGCCTTAGGATAGGTGTCGTACATTTTTTACCCACACATCCCTAGCCCACCTTAATTTATTGTTTTTTTGTTTCACCTTTATCTCTCGTGTCACCATCCTCCTGTGATGTTGAAATTTGGACAGGATATCAACATTTTAGGAGATCTATTAATGATATTTCACAGGAACCTTCGTAAATCACCGATGTTAAATTCATATTTTTCATTGAAATAATTTATGTTAATATACTGTGTGGATGGGAATATATTTACATGGAGTCCTCGTCGTCGGTCATGTCTTCAGACTCGGAAGCTTCATGAGGGACATCTGCATGTGCAGTTGAAATATCGCCACATTTCTTCCTTGGAGGGTGTAAGTGGGGCTGTTCTTAAAATTTGCTGTTAGTGGATGGGATGGTCAGGCTAAAGACTCACAAATATCATAATTTTTATGGCTGAGCTAAGTGGCCAATCTGTCACATCCAGTTCGGGGACATCAGCATTCAGGTCGAGATCCATAGGAAGCGTGTCCGCTTGATCTATTTTGGACCTCAAAAACAATTAGGTGTTCTCAAAAAAGATAGTGTGGTGACAAATGTGTGGAACTCCAATGGAGAGAGAATAAAACCGAGGAACCCTGAAGACTTCTTACCCAATTTGCCCAAAGGTGTCGTAAAGACAACACCCTTTCGCTTTGCTCTTTGATGTTTCAGAAGTACGTCATGGCAGAGCCAAGCCTAGGATCAAGGACCCACCAACGATAATGATAATGGATATATCCAACCAAAGTCATCCAAATGCTTTAATGATGCCAACAGACTTGCTGGCGAATCCATTCATTGCGGGCATCATCATTGATATGCTTTCCTGGGATGAATTGATTGTCAAACCTTAAAAACCATCAATATTGACTCAAAATAATGTCTTTGGGGAATGATTCAAAAAAACAACAAAACGAACAAGATTGATCAAGTTAGATCGAAATACCAATCTTTTTTTTGTAAACACCTTTGCCACAGCCAGCCGGCATTGGCTCTCCCGAGGGACTTGCTTAAGTCCACTGGCCTTGAAGGCCGATCGAAGCCACACATTACCCCTGAGTCTGATATCACCACCTGGGATAATATCATCCTCCGCTCTGATACCTTCTGGCATTCGGATAAGCATCTCTCGATATAGTGCCCTTAGATCCATGAACAATGCTATTAGGAGGGATAATCAAATACCATTCCATCACAAGCCAAAAGAGTTCTTGACAAGATTCCTTCCAGAAGATTTCATAGGCAACTTCGACATGGCGGCAAACACCGCTGGCCCACCAAAATGGTGCTTTCTTGTTTTTCTTGCCATTGTTAAGATCTATCACTTCGACTCCCTTAGGATATGATCATTAAAGACCCAATCATGGCCCTTGACATCACCCCGAGCTGCCTTTCCCCATTTGGCTGCTGGAGGCTGCAGAGATGGACGGAGATGGCTGGGAAGTGGCACAGCAGCGCCCGAAACTGGTGGGAATATCTCGATTGGGTACATGTTATAAGATTCATTCAATATTGTGGAATTATGTGGCCACCAAATTTCAAAATCTAAGGGGCGGTTATTGGTAACCTATGCTAAGGGGCGGTTATTGGTAACCCCTTAGAGGTTCCTGGTATATTATATATTATATGAAGCCCTTCATTGATGGTGGTTTTCCTCGTTGAAACCCTCCATTTCCCTGGCCTCAGCCAGGGCGACGGATGGCGTAGACCACCGCAGGACCCTTGGCCACCAGCTCACTGGCAGGGAACGGCTCACCTGCAGGGATTTGGGATTTAAGAAGGACATAGGGTGTAGAAATGATGGTGAATTGTGAATTCATGGTGGATTGTTTTTTTGTTTTTACATGATTTAACCAACAAGAATGGAATATGGATACTGAATGGCTAAGTAGTGAATATGCAATCAAGCTATACATCCTGCGGTATAAATATGAACCACACCGAAACTTGGTGCCTCACCCTCACCCCACTTGCAATTGGACTTCGGTGATGACCTTCACCCTGCGGGAGCGGGGTGAGCATCGTGGACATCAACGGCTGGGCCGGGGCAGGCATCTTGGAGGCAAAGCGTCGGGCCTCGCCCAGGGCCCAGGGCCCAGCAGGGCTTAGTTCCCAGGAGATTTTCTATGCTTCGGGGTGTGGGCCCCAGTTCGTAAATGGGTGAAAAACCCACACTTATACACGGAATATCCCTTAGTAATCCTTAGTATATCTGGGATTGTAGGTGGCATATATGGATAAACCACCGATCCTAAATGGGATGCACATCCTATGGATGATGTGGTAAACTTCCAGGATTTCCAGTGATGAAAATCACTGGGACGGACAATGGGATAACACAATTAGGGATGACTATGGATAATTAAAGGATAATAATTACTGTAGTAACGGATGATGGCTCAATGTACCTTCGATATCCTTTGTTAATGGATGGGTGCTATGGTATGATTGAATATCATTTAATCATTGAATATTAGTGGATAATTACGAATTGTTTGTGTCAATGCGGTAACCCAAATATGTTGCAAATCCCATGCGATAATTGGCTTTTCCAGAATATTCATTAGAATACTGATTGATAAAGGATGATAGATATGTCATAACTCCAACAAACCATCCCCAATATGAGGTTCACGCATACCCCTAGAAATGGAAGGATGTAAAATTATCCCCAGTCATGATTGGTGAATGGGATGGTTTATGGCATTGTCATTGTGTTTACCACATTAATCTCCATGGAAGATAGGATATGTTTAATATGAGTTCCTATTACTTAAAGCAAATATGTTGAGAGATTAGCGTTTGGATGCATTTGGTATTTCCATAGATTGATTTACCCATATTCACATATGTCGATAATAAATTCAAATTTGCAAATTCCATTCCGGATTCCCTATCACAAAGATTCTGCACATCTGGTATACTGACAGACGGGAAGCACATTCGCAAAATCCGCTACATCCATGGTGAACTTTCCATATATCTGTCATAATTTAGATAGGCGACACAAGCAAGACCGGCGCCAGGTCGTTTTCGACAACCCTTACAGCATTACATTAAGATGTGTTTGATGTGTCCGTTTTTTTGTTGTTGGGGGGTGGGTTGGCAGGTGGGGTGGTGGGTGGTGGGGTGGTGGGGTGGTGGGAGGGTGATGTTTCCATCCCGTGTACATGTTGGTGATGATCTTGGCCACCCCAAGTTTCTCATGGTTTTGATGACTCAATACTCAATCCTATGTTATGCTTTGAAACATTTTTATAAATATATATATAAGCATACTATCTTTTCTTGCTTCTGGGACATTAACTTAAGATCTATTAAAAACATAAAATCGGAGCTCCGCTGATCCTGGTGTCGCATGGATAAAAAAAAGTCCAGAGGGTAGTCCCCTGGTTGAATCCCAATGGCTTATCCCAAGAGAGCCACACTTTCATAGACCACAAATTGGGGATTATTGTGTTGTTGTGTGGATTCAACAGAAGAAATGGGGGAATATCTGAAACGTGGTATATAGTAAAATATATAGTAAAATTATATATTTGGAATGACATGGCCTGATACTAGTGCTGGGGAAATATCTTGAGAACATTTGTATTTGGTATGGCTATGGCAATTGGAAAGTACGATCGAACAAATTCAAGTCTTGGCATGATATTTGGGGCATATGTTTTGCTATTATCTATATATTTATGGAGATTTGGGGTTGGATATGGTGATACGAATGCTTGGAATGTTCCTCAGGCATCTTTGAAACACAGCAGGGTGGCATTTCCCAACACCAAACTCCCGGAACTGCGAAGTCGAGGGGCTGTTTGAACTACACGACCACGCATCTCTTGAACCGCAGCAGATTTTATGGCGCCTCTGTTTAGCCCAAAGCTATCAAGAGCAAACTTCTGTCAGGATGACTAGGATGACTAAATCTTGGGCTTTCCATGGCGTTCACACTTTACCATTGCCCAAAGCGGATTCACTCATACGGTGAATATTTTGGTTTATTTCATATAGCCATGGAAAATGGCCCATTTATAGATGGTTTACCTATTAAAAATTGTGATTTTCCATGGCTATGTTAAATAACCAGAGGGTAAATAGTTTGGTCAAATATCTTCGAGCCCTCGCTGAACAGTCGCCCTGAATATGTTGTTTCCTCTGCAACACTGGCTGGAAGCGATGGGTGCCGAAGCGACTCGACATGAGCGATTGCCACCACGTCGGATGTCTCACACAAATGAAATTCACTGGTTCATCTGGTTCATCTGGTTAATCTGTCAGGAAAATAATATGGGCATGAAAAACAAAATCAATAGATACATCACAAACCATCAAGAGAGAAGGGTTTTCCATTTGTGTTGCCAGAGTTGAGCTGGAAGCAAAGACCAAAAATGCATTGAGGCCGATGAACCATTACTCAATCAAAGGGAACGAACGTAGAAATGTGAATGGCCAAAAGCTGGTAAAATGAATCAATCAATCAATCAAGCAATCAAACTGGATCATGACATGGATCTGGCCTAAGTGACTCAACCAAACAGAATCAGAAGAGAAATGGATTTGTCCAGAAATGGGGCATACACACCTAGAATTGCAAGCTAAAAGGGGCAAATGATAAACCATTGGATTTCAAAGAATGTTGGATTATCACGCATTCTTGGAGAAATCCAAGAAAATCCACTAAATTCTGGCACCGCAAAACACTCATCCACCAAGGTTTTATACGTTGAATCTCGTGACGGGGCTGTGGCTTCGCTGGCGGCACATCTTCAGAATTTTAGAAATAGCTATGTCCCAAAATGAGGGACCCCAGCCAAATATGGCTCAAAATGTTCCAGGCACCCCTTTCATTGCTTCATATCAAACCATCCATGATTCTCCATATATTTTGGGTACAAGTTTGAGTACCCATCTGACAGATCTGGTTCATTTTCCTAGACAATATAATTATATTATATGAATTATATGTATACTCTATTACAAACGGAGCACACACACGAGCACAGGGCGCATGGGGGTCCCCCATGTTGAGGCAGACATAAACTCCAGAGGAGGCAAGGCGATTTGAGGTTTCGCCACCATGTACAGTCTGGCAAGGGCTGCCACTGCAATGTAGAGTCAGAGCAGATAATAATAATTAATAATAATAATAATCAAACTAAGAAACGTTGAAACCACCAACCAAACTGGGCACTTGCCTTGTCATCACTATTTCATGCAGAATCATGTAGGAAATCATCTCAAGTAAACTTCCCTCCAAACATGGAGAGCTTGAAGCGCTCCCTAAAAATGCCCCCCAGGGGGTCGCACATGGGCTGGACGAGTTGCTAGCCTAATCGGAAAGTCATCTATGAATTGATAATATGGATGTGGGATTCACAACTGTCAATTCATTCAATGGGGTAAATAAGGGATTCTCATTTTTTATAGTTTAACTACATGCTCAAGTATACCTTTTTGGGAAGCTACATGAATCAGTGACCC